GAAACCATGATCGGGGCCAGGGTCGGGGCCAGGGTCGGGGCCAGGGTTGCCTGACAGTTGCCAAGTCCGACGAGGGCCATCAGCCCGTCGGATATCGCGACCGGGGACAAGGCAGCGCCAGGGAACAGTGGCCCATGCTCTGACCTAGTCATGATCAGCCAGTTCGTCGTCGTCGCTGGCTTTATTTTATTTTCGGATGAAGGTCGAGTTTAAGTTATTGGGCGGCAAGAGCACTCATGCCGACGTCGGTGCAGCAGACACAGTGCCTCAAGTGAAGGAGGCCGTGTGCCCGATGCTTGACCTAGACCCGGCTTCGGTCACGCTAGTGTACAAGGGCAAACTCGCGAAGGATGCCGACACCATGGAAACGCTCAAGGTGACTGAGAACACCTGCATACACCTCGTAAGGCGAACAAACAACACACGGGGTGGTTGACACACGGGGTGGTTCACACACGGTGTGTGTGATTGACACACGGTGTGTGTGTCATGCCGTGTGAGTGATTGTGGGCACTGGTATTACGGGTGGATGTTATGGGTGGTTTGATTGTAGGTGACCCGAGCAAAGAGTGGTGCTGCGGCGAAGGCTGGCGCTGGTTCGAGTCCTGCTCCGGCCGCGGCGTCGGCTCCGGCTTCAGGTGCGTCTCCTGCTGCCGGTGGTTCGAATCCTGCTGCGGGTGCGGCCCCGGGTGGGCCGAACTTGTTTAGTGGCATGGGTGGTTTCCCTGGCGGTGGCTTGGAGGGATTGGAAGGATTAGGAGGGGGGATGCCAAGTCCGCAGGCGATAGTACAGATGATGCAGAATCCGCAAGTGCAGCAGGCTATGCAATCACTGATGTCTAACCCACAATTGTTGACACAGATGATCCAGAGCAATCCGTTGTTGCGTCAGATGAGTCAGAGCAACCCTATGTTGAATAGCATGTTACAAGATCCAGAGATGTTGCGTAACATTTACTCACCCGAAAATCTAGCCAATGTGGGGAACATGATGCGGCAAGGAGCAGCAGGTGCACCCGGAGGAGGTCTGGATTTCGCTTCTCTTCTTGGCGGTCTTGGCGGTCAAGGTGGCGGACAAGGAGGTGGCATGCCCGACCTTGCATCCATGGAGGAACAACTCCGAAACCTCATGGGTGGAGGAAGTGGTCCAGTCAATGCCGCTCCTGTCAGTAATCCTGAAGAAGCATTTACATCGCAATTGAAACAGCTCGAAGACATGGGGTTCCTTGACAAACAAGCCAACGTCTCTGCACTACAAGCCACCGGTGGGGATGTGAATGCTGCCATCAACATGCTACTTGAACGTGGTTTCGGAAACTAGACTAATTTGGAGTGCAGTTAAAGCAGAAGCAGTTAAAGCAGAAAGTTAGCTGCCCGCTAGAGTTTTTCTAATATGAACTGAACTGAACAGAACGGAACGAAATGGGACGGGATGGAACGGAAGGGACTACAGACCAGATATTTAGACCAGAAGCAGCTGTGGGAGAGGAAGGGAAGCTGTATCCAACCGGGAAGCTGTATCCAAACCGGGAAGCTGTGTGTATGACCACCAAGAGGAGGGAGTTGACGGGCTGGGCTGGATCTCAATACAAGAGAAGGTGGTTGGATGGCATGTTAGAATGTATGTTGTAAGAATCGGGGATAATATCTTGGCCTGGTTTCTGGTTTCAGATCACTGAATGGTATGAATATCGGGCCTCTTCGAATTTTTATAGGTCGTGGTTCTAAAGTATGTTTGCTGCGGTTTCCTCTTGATCTTCTCCTTGTATTTAATTGATAGCGAAACTCCGATTCTGACTCAAGGCTTTGATCACTTCTTTCCTCATATCGATATTCCCACGATCCGGCTGTGGTATTTTGCCTAGTGCTCCTAGTAACTCTTGTTAGCCTCTCCTTTTCGATCTCCTCTGGCGTTTTTTCTCTCTGATATGGTTCAACAAAAACACGAGTATACTTCACCGAAGATTGGTCCAAATAGTCCTGCATTTTAATAAAAGCTTCCTCA